GGAAATCTCTCCAATTGGGACACAGACAGCAATAAAAAAAAATCTAGTAGTGTGGTATTATTTTTCCAGCTAGCTAACAGCTTTACTGTAAAAGTGATTAATCGGCTTTATAGCCACCCAATCACTGTTACTGCCCTTGGAAGGCCCCCACCGCTGCCCACCGCCATTCACAGGCTCTGCCGTTCCATGAGGAAGCCTAGGTCCACTGTAAGCTGAAGGTCAGCTGGGCACACAGCAGATGGACGAACATTCTTTCCCTGATCCACTCTGTAACTAATGAAGTCGGAAGTGACAAAGATTTTGTCAATTCAAGCTTTGATGCTGTGTTTCCTTGGTCAGTACAGCCAAAGAAGCATCTGATCAAACACTGTCTATGCCTTGCTCCCATCCTGCAGACCCGCCCACAGGCTCTGGCCACCCCTCGGCTCCCCTGCACCATGATATCACATGACACACTCAGGCACTGCCTGGTCTTGGCTGGCTCCAGACCGGAACTATGTATGCGCAGTTCCAAGCCGAGCGTAAAAGCCATGTTTTTAACTGGCTACCTTTTCCTGTCAGTGGCATTTACTGGCAGGAGAAAAGTGCCCGTTTTTACTTGCTGCCAGTAAAAATACTGACAGCAACACTGTCCCTGTCTCTCCTGACCTTCTTCTGTATAAGGCCTTGAAGGCCTGGACAGGGTCCTCTATGTAATTCGTGGGAAAAGCCTGGGAGTGAGTGGCTTGGCAGAGCTATGGAAGGGACATTGGGAGGAGACTGGTATACTAAATAAAGCACAACTTAAAAAAACGTAGGTACAGACAGGTGACTCACGTGGCTTGAATAAATATGAAAAAATATCTTACTTGAAGAAGTTTATTAGTATCTAAAGAACATGCTCAATAAATACTGAAAATATATCTCATTCACACAACACCCTACACCAAAATGTAACCAAAAAACAGCTAAAATAATACACCATATGTTTGGACATTATAAGTTGTAAAGCTATAAGTTATAAAGTTATAAACCAGTGACAGCTACAGTGGGAAAATAATTATTTGATCCCATGAAGATGTTGTACGTTTGCCCACTTACAAAAAAACATATGATACAAATGTTATCAATTCAGTTCCAGTTCAATGAGTAAAAGAAGTATTTGATTGCCAAGCATAACAATACTTTGTGGAGAGAAACTCTTGTTTGCAAGCACAGAGGTAAGACATTTCTTGTAATTGGTTACAAGATTTGCACACATCTCAGGAAGGATTTTGGTTCACTCTTTTTACAGATCTTCTCTAAATCTCTAAGGTTTTTTGGCTGTCGCTTGGCAACTCAAAATTTCAGCTCCCTCTACAAATTTTCTATAAGATTAAGGTCTGGAGACTGGCTAGGCCACTCCATGACCTTAATGTGCTTCTTTTTGAGCCTCTCCTTTGCTGCTTTGGCAGTATGTTTTGGGTCATTGTCATGCTGGAAGACCCATCCATGACCCATCTTCAGTGTTCTGGCTGAGGGAAGAAGGTTCTCATCAAAGATTTTACAATACATGGCCCCATCCATTGGCTCCTCAATGCGGCAAAGTCAGCCTGTACCTTCAGCAGAGAAACAGCCCAAAAGCATAACGTTTCCACCTCCGTACTTGACTGTAGGTATGGTGTTCTTAGGATCACAGTCATCATTTTTCTTCCTACAAACACTGCTATTCGATTTAATGGCAAAGAGCTCAATTTTGGTCTCATCAGACCACAGCACTTTCTCCCAATCCTTCTCTGAATCATTTAGATGTTCATTGGCAAATTTTAGACAGGCCTGTACATGTGCCTTCTTGAGGAGGGGGACTTTGCGGGCCCTGCAGGATTTCAATCCATGGCGGTGTATTGTGTTACTAATAGTTTGGTGACTGTGGTCCCAACTGCCTTGAGATCATTCACAAGCTCATCCTGTGTAGTTCTGGGCTGATACCTCATTTTTCTCATGATCATCCTTACCCCATGAGGTGAAATCTTGCATGGAGCTCCAGACTGAGAGCTATTGATGGTTATTTTGTATTTCTTCCATTTGCGAATAATCGCTCCAACAGTTGTCTCCTTGTCACCAAGCTTCTTTCTGATGGTCTTGTAGCCCATTCCAGCCTTGTACAGGTCTACAATCTTGTCCCTGACAACCTTTGACAGCTCTTTGGTCTTACCCATGGTGGTGCCCAAGAAAGAGATTCTGTGGACAGGTGTCTTTTATACTCATAATGAATTGTCATTAGGAGCACCTTCTTAAATTGACAGGACTAATCTGTGTACCACATAAGCACATTGCCAGTCTGTGGGAGCCAGAATTATTGTTGGTTGGTAGGGGATCAAATACTTTTTTTACTCACTGAGCTGCAACTCAGTTTATAAAATTTGTATCGTGTGGTTTTTCCAGCTTTTTGGTTGATATTCTGTCTCTATTATTTAAAATACACTGATTATAAAAATTGTAGACTCTTTATTTCTTTGCAAGTGGGCAAACGTATAAAATCTGCAGGGGATCAAATAATTGTTTTCACCACTGTATATGTTCAGCACTGTTTGAGCCCCAGTCAGGGATCACAAAGGCTCGTAACACCATCACTGATCACTGGGGACCCCAGTATAATATATCTTCCATGATCATAACTCCACATTAAATCTGTAAGTGGAATTATAACAGTCTGGAACAGTTACTTCTACTGATGGATTATATATTGATAATACAAAGCTTACTCAGAGGGAAAACATATGAAAACCTGATGTTTGATTCATTTTTGTTCCTTAAAAGCTCTATAAAGTAGTCCCCATTGACCTGCTTGCACTATAGGTTATACTCATATTTATGAGCTTACCTCATAACAGTCATATATCTTATAACTTATTAACAAATGCTTCTCAGAACATAGCATGCTGACACAATAGTATAAAAGCATATACAGTAGCTACGAACCTGTACATTAGCAGAGTCACCTCTAAACTGCCATCACACTAAAACAAATATGCCCACTTATAAGCCTTTATTGGCTTTACAAAATGCAGTGTGGTGGTATTCCTCTTGGTGGTAGATGCCTAAAATTATGGAAATAAAGTTGAAGCAGTATATACATCACATTCAGCCAGCTGTGTCCTCTGCATAATTGATTACAGCCTCAAAAATGGCTTTTCCTGTATGTGGCTGGTATAAAGTGCCTCTGTGAAGTATCTTCAAAGGTAAAGTGTATTTTCCAAACTGACTTATCCACACCAGGATATGGGTCTTAAAAGACCTCACTCTATGAGGGTAGATTTTTGCTCCCCTTTTTCTAAAATGGATGAATTTATGATAATCAAGGATATTAACTTGTTTTTAAGGAAAGTATTCTTGAGAATCCTGTGTCAAAAAAGAGATGAGCCTAATACATTTGTATCAAAACATACAGTGGAAGATAAATAATTTTATTTCTCTATTAGAAGAGAATGAAATTGAGGATACATCAGAAGAACACGAGGAGTGAAGGATTAGGAAACATGCTAATTTATGCATCAAATCTACTAAAATGCCCCCAATAGGAAACAATAAAAGATTAAATTTATTCTTAGATGGTTGACTGGACAAGGAAAGGTAGTGATAACTTTAAAAATGTTGAGAGACAAGCCCTCAAAGAACTGATGGAAGATAAACAAGTGACAAAGGTGGAAATGTTGTTCTGTTGAGCATATTCCAGTGTGAAGATGAAGTAAAGAGACAGTTGTCAGTTAAGTCAAGATATGAGGAATTACCAACAGAAAGTACGAGTGCTGAAAAGTTAAAGAATTGAATACTCCAACATTTTACATCATACTTAAGATTAATAAAAATCCGGATAATCTCCCCAGACAACCGATCGTCTAGGCAATAAAAGACCCTCTTGAGCAAATTGGTGTTTACATAGACAGTCTATTAAAATCGATGGTGTTTTTATTGGGGTCATTTGTTCAAGATACATGTTATGTACTAGCAAAAGTTTCAGAAGTACAGGTAGAAGATGAATCATTACTAGTTGGGGTGGATGTAGAATGGCTGTATACCTCAATACCACATCATTGTGGTTTGAGAGTGATTGAGTACTTTTTAGAACTCTTATACCCACAGATGGGTCCACAAAACAAGTTTATCTTAGACCTGCTGCAATTTTCACTTGCTAATAACTATTTTCAGTTTTCAGGGAAGAGTCATCAGCAGGTTAGAGGCACCTTTATGGGAGAATTGTGGGCTCCAGCATATGCTTACCTCCAGCTTGGTTACTGGGAGGAGTAGGAGGTGTATGTGGCACCGATGCTCCTCAGCCACGTCAAATTGGGCTGAGGTACAACGACGACATACAGATTCTGTGGAAAGGTAGTGAAAGTGAACTATGAACATTTGCTGATGAACTGAATCAGAACCTGAGAAATATAAGGCTAACATATACAATTTTGCTCAAAAGTTTGCATACCCTTGTTTTTTACGAAAACATGCGTGAGCAGGCAAAACAAATTACTTCTGTTTCTTATGGGATTCATATTCAACTGTAGGTCATAACAGAATGGCACAATCATAAAACAAAACATGGCAACAAGTAAACAAATTAAATGACCCCTGCTTAAAAGTCTGCATACCCTTAGTTCTTAATACTGTCTATTGCCTAGCCTTTAATTGCCATTTTAACCTGTGTGTGTCACCATGTGTGTGTCTGTACCAAGGCCAAATATTCCAATGTAGGTAAAATTTTGATTAGGGCCATTTGGGTGATTCCTGTTATCATTATAACCACTTGTCTATTGGTCACTTATACCCACTTCCTGCCAAGGACAATTTTCAGCTTTTAGCGCTGTCGCACTTTGAATGACAATTGCGCTGTCATGCAACATTGTACGCATATGAAATTTTTATAATTTTTTTCACACAAATAGAGCTTTATTATGGTGCTGTTTAATCACCATTAGGTGTTTTATTTTTTGCAAACAGGTAATTTCTTTTTTTCTTTCACTGAAGTGCATTGATGAGGCTGCACTGATAGGCAGCATTGATGGGCACTGATAGGCAGCACTGATGAGGTGGCATGGATAGGCGGCACTGATAGGCGGCACTGATGAGCTGGCACTGATGATGCTATACTGATATGCAGCAATGACGGGTACTGATAGGCAGTACTGATGGGCAGCACTGATGGGCACTGATGGGTGGCACTAACTGATGGAGCTGACTGGGGGCACTGCTGGGCACTGACTGGCTGCACTAATGGGTGGCACTGATCGGGGGCACTGCTGGGCACTGGTGGGTTGCACTGCTGGGTACAGATGGGTGGCACTGCTGGGCACTTGTGGGTGGCACTGCTAGGCACTTGTGGGTGGCACTGTTGGGTACAGATGGGTGGCACTGCTAGGTACTGCTGGGCACAGGTGGGTGGCACTGCTGGGCACTGATCATCATCATATGACACCCTCCTAGAACTTAACCGCACTGTAGTCATCATTCAGCTATAGCACGGTTGGCAAGTGGTTAAAAGGAGCCAAACAACTATGCGAAAATAAATGGCTTCATAGGATCAGTATCCTTAACCAATTCAATACCGGGCAATTTTACACCTTCCTGCCCAGGCCAGTTTTCAGGTTTCAGCGCTCTCACATTTTGAATGACAATTGCGCGGTCATACAACATTGTACCCAAACTAAAATTTTATCATTTTCTTCACACAACTAGAGCTTTCTTTTGGTGGTATTTAATCACCACTGGGGTTTTTATTTTTTGCTAAATTAACAAAAAAAGATCAAAAAGTTATAAAAGTTTGCAAATAAATAATTGTTCTTCATAAGTTTAGGCCAAGATGTATTCTGCTACATGTCTTTGGTGAAAATAACCCAAATTAGGATGTATTTTTTAGTTTGTAGGAAAGTTATAGAGTTCACAAACTATGGTATAGATCTGAATATTGATCAGTCCTGAAGTACTGACAGCCAATCTAATTTCTTGAGGTCCAAGAATGTCAGAACAGTACAGATATCCCCCAAATGACCCCGTTTTGCAGAGTAGACAGTCCGACGTACTTCATAAGAGGCATGGCGAGTTTTTTGAAGTTGTATTTTTTTTGTCATAATTTTTCGGAAAATGAAAAAATTAAAAAAATTAGTTTCACTATTTTTTTTTTACATATTGTCACCAGTGCAGTACAGCATCATCATATAACTGGCATGGTGGTGATCAGGGACATTGACTGGTGACAGTATGAAAAAAAAAAAAAATATTTTTTTTTATTTTTTTTATTATTTTTTATTAAATTTTTTTTCTTTTTTTTAGATTTTTTTTTTTTCATATTTCACTATGACCAAAGTAGTACAATGTTACCATAGTAACATTGTACTACTTTGGGGAAGTGATCAGTATTTTTTTTTTTTTTTTACACAATTTGCTTATAGCAAAGAATTACTTTGCTATAAGCAAGCATTTACCTGAATGACATCGATTCATTCAGGGGTTTTTTTTTTTTTTTTTTTTTGTGCTTAGCTGTGATTTGGCCACAGCTAATCACATGACAAGTGCATGTGATTAGCTGTGACCATTCACATCTAGACACTAGTATACAATGGATGGCATGAATGAAGCCATCCATTGTATACAACTGTCATGTGACCTGCTGTGATTGGTCACAGCAGGTCACATGGTACCGGCAACGGGGGCGATACTCAGATCTGTCATCGGCCGTGTCCGAGGTACACAGCCAGTGACAGATTGCGCCGCTGCGAGGCTCTGCAGGAGCGCAATCTGCGCATGTGTGGGAGGACGCCATATGGTGTCCACCCGGAACGCTAATGACATTTGCCGGCCGCCATTCAGCCATAGGGCGGGCGGCAAATGGTTAAATAAAAGACAGTTTTTTGGCATGACCAGTTATATTTTCATTATCAATGCCACAATTTCACAATTTCTGCCAGGGTATGCAAACTTTTGAGCACAACTGTACCTATATTAATAAAGAGATCCCTTGTATTTAAAGATCACAGTGGAGAATAAAATCTTGGTTACAAAAACTTACTGTAATTAAACAGCAGCAAATATGCTGCTGCATGCAGATAGCTTCTACCGAGTGGAATAAAAGTGGAATACCAACAGGGCAGTTTTCATGTATTCGATGTAACTGCACCAAGATATCTGCCTATCAGCAAGAAGCAAAACAACTGTATGAGAGGTTTAGAGAAAGAGGATACTCACACAGAAAAATCATAATTGCCAGGAAAAAAGCAGCAATACAAGATCAGGAAAGCTTGAAACCAAAAGAAAAAAGACCATTAGGAGGTGAGGGGAAACCTGTAAGATTGATCACCCAATACAGGGTGCAATGGGATAGGGTAAGAGATGTACTCCAGAGACGTTGGAAAGTTTTAACTATTTATTATTATTATTATTATTATTATTAATATACAGGATTTATATAGCGGCAACAGTTTGCTCAGCACTTTGCAATATAAAGGAAGACAACAGAGAACTATATACAATTCAACACAAGAGGGTTAGGAGGGCCTTGCTCCTTGGAGCTTATAATCTAAGAGGTCCATCCATAGCCGAAATTGTTGGCCTTGAGCCCAAAATGATGGCACACAGGGCACAGGATCTGGGAGATACACTCAGAGTTTGTGAAGACCATGAAAATTGGTTGTCTTTGTACCCCAGAGCTAAGGGGATGTATCCCTGAGGCCACTGTCAGGTATGCCTCTTCATGGACTGAACAAATGTGTTCTCTGATTCAGAAAATGAAAAATAATATAAGATAAATGAAAGAATTAACAGTTCTACAACCAGGATTATTTATGTGATAGCATACCACTATGAAAAGATATATATAGGTAAAACAAAAGGCAGTTGAGAATAAGAATTGGGGATCACATGGGTGATATTTGCAAGAAGGATCCTGACAAACCTGTGACCTAACATTTTGCCATATTCCACAATGGAAAGTTATATTTAAGATGAAAGATATCTATGTATTAAAGATATCAGTGAGATAGGGTGACTTAAGTTCAGTAGTCCTGCAAAAGGAAAAATGTGGATCTATAGAGTAAACACATTGGTCCCCCCCAGGGTCCTAATACTGAACTTAATTTACAAGTGTTTTTGGAAAGTATACATTTTGTATCCCAAACAGCCAAATGGTTTTACCTTTAAATAAGGTAAAGTAGGTGTCAGGGATCCCTCCATGCAGCCGTGCACCGGCGCCGGATCCCCTCAGGCCATGGCGGAGCGAGTGCGCATGCTCGGGAGCGTGCGGGGGCGCAGTAGAGTACACGTCACCGCAAGGCGGGCTATTTAAACCTGCAATATAATGTAATCAATGCCTTCTGGTCTATAATGTTCTGCACTCCATACCTGATTCTGTTGCCTGTATCCTGATCTGACCTGACTAAGAAAGAACTCCACCTGCACCGACCCCGGCTTATCCTTGACTATCCGCTTGCCTGCTCCCTTGTACTTGATTTTCTCGTTTGATCCTGATCCGGCTTGTCTGACTCTGCTGCACCTACTTACCTGTATCTGTACCTGGCTTGTATCCTGATTACGGCCATACTTACCTGCTGCTACACACACGGTCCTGCACCCGGTCTGCATCCTGGTCACCGCCATACTTACCTGCTGCTGCTCCCACGGTCCTGCACCCGGCCTGCATCCTGGTCACCGCCATACCTGCCTGCTACCGCATCCACGCTCCTGTGTCCATTCCCAGTCTGCATCCTAATTGCCACCATACCTGCCTGCTGCTGCACCTACGTTCCTGCATCCGCACCTGGCCTGCATCCGGATCTCCTGGGTCTTCACCTACCTACCAGCTCCAGACCTACCTGGCACTCGTGCCACTCCTGGCTCTGTGCCCTCTGTTCCCACTATCAGGGGCTCCGAGCAGGAGTAGTAAGAGGACGTCTCCTCTCCACGTCAGGCTCCCCAAGCAGGTACGTGACAGCAGGAGAGATAACATCAAGAATACGTGTTGACTGCTCCATTTTTTACTCTACCTATCTTTTTATATTCTTTCTACCTGTCCCTTGATGGCTATAGAACCCTCATGAACTTACTACTATGAATTTTCAGCTTTGGTAAATAGTTTTGTGATGAACAACCTGGCATCCTGACTGGGTACCTCTGCCAAACAGTGCCTCCTGTCGTCCAAACCCTTCCATCAGACTGATAGCTATTACCAGACCTTTACCCCAAGCATCATACACAGATAAGATGTTGAGGTAAAACCAAAAAATTTACTTTTTATTAAAACCCAGACACATACTTTATACCCCCAGGAGGACATTCCCCTCTTGGGGATATTAGCATAGATAAGAAGTACAACCAGTAAAAACATGACAATGCAACCTTTAAACATTAATCTAATAAACAGCTAGGCACCTAGACAAGTCTTATCAGTATGGCTAGTAATCACAGGAATTCTCCACCTTGCCTCCTTTGTCTATGTGCTGGAAAACATGTCCACAATAAGTCGATTAGCTAGGGCATACCCGACAGGATGCCCAAAACAGTTCCAAAGCCCCAGATACATAAAGTACATTACACCACTCATTTCTAAATGTCCCACCCCATATCCAGCTCGGATTTAGGTTACCAAGTAGCATATCATTGGCAGAGATAGTATAAAAAGCTAATAATAGTAGCCGGGGCAAAATGGGCAAATGCTGTATTATGCAGCTCTCAAAGACGGGCCAGGGCAAAATAAGGAATATGCCCAAGAAGAGTTCCATATAGGTTGAAGGTGCGTCTGCACCATCTGTCTGACACAATGTTTCTGCAGATGCACCACTGTTCTGGGGATTTCCTGGCTGCATAATTCTAGTAGATACTCCCAGACAGTCAAAGGGTTTCAGGACCCAGCTCTCCTCCATGTTCTGACCAGGAGAAGCAGACTAATTCCCCAGTCTCCTTCATGGGCCATAATAAGTGAGTAGAAGGCTAGCCCATAGTCCCCTCCAAAAGCCCCTGTCCCAGTTGGGTCTGTCACAAGTTTCACATTCACAAACAATGTACAAAGCCAGACTTGGATGAATATAGTATGCTGAGTTTCTATAGTATGTAAATACGCACCTATTTGCAATAATGGCCTATCTATTATTATCCCTGATTTTGTGGTCAGTCCACAATTAACTTAATCTTGAATACAGGTTTGGTATGTGGATACACCAATACCACTGTAGATGTGGAAAACTATATTTTATAATGGCATGTTTCACTTGAAGTCTCTTTTTGATTGTTTCTAGGGCAGAAATATATTAGGCAAGAGCTCTGCCTAACAACTTTAAATGTTCCCGCACTATATACAGTATCTCAAGGCTTTGATTGCTATATCATGCTTTTGCGCACATCTACCATGAATTTGTAATAGCAAAAATCTACCTTCATATAGTGATGTCTTAAGAATGTTAGGACCTATATCCTGATGTAGACAAGCCAGTTTGGAAAATACACTTTACCTTTAAAGTTACTTCACAGAGTCACTTTATACCAGCTACATAGTAGCCATTTTATAGGCTGTAATCAATTATACAGAGACCACAACTGGCTGAATATGGTGTATGTACAGCTACACTATGATTCCAGAATTGCATGCATCTATCACCATGAAGAATACCACCACACTGCATTCTGTAAAGCCAATAAAGTCTTGTAAGTGGACATATTTATTTTAGTATGATGGAAAACTAGAGGGAACTGTGCTAATGTACAGGTTCATGACTATATGCTTTTATACTATTGCTTCAGCAAGCTATATTCCACTAAGCATTTGTTAATACGTTACCAGTTATATGGCCCTTATGCGGTAAACTCATAATTATACTTATAACCTATAGTGCAAGCAGGTCAATAGAGACTAAGTTATAGAGCTCTGAAGGGCAAAAAATGAACAAAACATCAACTTGACCAGGTTTTCATACATAATATAATGTGGTTTATCAATGTTTTCCCTCTGAGTAAGCTTTGCATTATCAAAACATAATCCGTCAGTGGAAGTAACTGATCACGACCATTATAATTCAAAGTGTAGCACTATTCCCATAGGAGCCGCTGGAATACTGTCTAGGTCCTCCTCAAATACTTTGCCCTGCAGCCAGGTACATAGGGTCATTCACTTATTTCTCCAATAATGAGTCTAGGGGTGTTGTTTTTATTTTTTGAGGAATTGGGATAGGGATGAGGGAGATGAGTGGGATACTCCAGGTTAGGAGCTATGTACACTAAGGAATTTGTCTAATCTTCAGGTCAAGCTATATCAGAGTCCATGCTTGAATCAAAGAGTGGACTTTAGTTTAAGGCAGTAGTGACATGTCGTAGCAGTAGCAGCAGTAACTTCTTTAGAGCCACAAGGCAGTGTTCCTTTAGGTAGTGGTGGGCAAATGGACCAAGCTCTTCAGAATACCAGCCAGTATTTCCTTTGCTAAACCTGCAGCTCACATCCTAGCACTAGAAGGGGTTAAACAGCATACAGCCTCTAAGATCCTTAGGGAAGCCTGTGCTCACAAAGCCCAAGAGCCGCTGACACCTTCCTCCAGGCCAGATCTTCAGGAAACAGCCCCTCAGTCAGCATAGCAAAACCCAAGTCTCAGCAATTCAGGCCCTCAGGTAGCCCACCTGAGCCTACGGTAGCAGCTGCCTGGGAGGGCAATGTGCTCTCTTCCATTCTTGGACAATCATAGACAGGAAAGACCCCGAGCCCCATTGTGTGCTCACTAACTATATACAGTTACCCAGCAAGCCTTAGAGCCCCTTTCTGTGGGATAGCTAAGGATGTATCAATATTCATGCTGCCATCTGCAAAGCTCCACACCTATCATCCAGAAACTTCTGCAGTCTTCTGGATACAGAGTAAGCTAGGCAGACTAGCAGCACCTGAGCACACAGAGCAGACCTCACTAAATAATCACAGCTCACTCAGTACAGTGAGCCAACTATACGTTTACCTAGAAATCATTACAGTCACTCTGCCTACAGAGTGACCACTAAATTTACCAAAAACACAACTAATCCTATCTACCTAATCCTAGCATCTACCTAGGAGGGTGCTACAGATTTATTGTGGACTCAGCGATGGCATTATGAGCCTTTGTGACCGATAATCTGGGCCCAATCAGTAATGTCACTGGTTTATAACTTGGACTTCTGAACATATGGTGTATTATTTTAGCTATTTTATGGTTAACTTTTGGTGTAGGATGTTGTGTGAATAAGATATATTTTTTGAACATTAATTGAGCATGTCCTTGTGATAGCATGTGATACTAATAAACTTTTTCAAGCAAAATCATTTTTGCATGTTTATTCAAGCCACAGGAGTCCCCTTATGTAACCACTGATTTAACTTAGGTGTCTGTACCTACGTTTTGTTATGATATGTGGATAAGGTTACGGTTAAGATTTATCAGTTGAGCCTGGAGCTTTTTATGTTTTCTTAATATGTGTTATACTAAAGCAAAAAGATCAAATTCAGAGATTAGTAATTAATGATTCATATACTGAATGGTCTAGAGTTGTTAGTGGTGTACCCCAAGGTTCAGTGTTGGGACCCTTACTTTTTAATATATTTATAAACGATATAGGGTCTGGGATTATAAATCCCATTTCAGTCTTTGCAGATGACACCAAGCTGTGCAGTGGAATAACGTCCTTATAGGATGTCTTCAATTTACAAGCCAACCTCGATGTACTGTTTAATTGGGCAAATGAGGTTTAATGTTGATAAATGTACGGTTATGCACTTGGAGGCTAAGAATATGCATGCATCATACATACTAGGGGGGGTACAACTGGGGGAATCAATGGTGGAGAAGGATCTAGGAAGGTTTAGCTTAATAATGGCATGCAATGCCAAGCTGCTGCTTCTAAAGCAAGCAAAATCCTCTCTTGTATTAAAAGAGGTATAGACTCCAGAGAGAGAGATATCATATTACCCCTGTACAAATCATTAGTAAAACCTCATCTGGAATATGCAGTTCAGTTTTGGGCACCAATTCACAAAAAGAATATTGGGGAACTGGAGAAAGTACAGAGAAGGGCAACCAAACTGATAAGAGGCATGGAGGAGCTCAGTTATGAGGAAAGATTAGAGGAACTGAAATTTATTCTCTTTTGAGAAGAGGAGATTAGGGGGGATATGATCAAAATGTATAAATACATCAGTGGTTCATATAGTGACCTCAGTGTAGAGCTATTCACCATGAGGTCATCACAGAGGACAAGGGGGCACTCTACGTCTAGAGGAAAAGAGATTCAATTTTAATTTTAAGATGTGAAAATGTGGAATAGATTCCCTCAAGAGTTGGTTCTGGCCAGCTCAGTGGATTGCTTTAAAAAAGGCCTGGATTACTTCCTAGATACACAGAATACAACTGGTTACTAACATTTATAGGTAAAGTTGATCCAGGTATATCCGATTGCCTCTCGGGGGATCAGGAAGGAATTTTTTTTCCCCTGCAGGAGAAAATTTAATCATGCTTTGCTGGTTTTTTTTTTTGCCTTCCTCTGTATCAACTGTGGGTATAGGATTATAACTTTTTTTTTTTTTTGGTTGAACTGGATGGACTTTTGTGTTTTTTTCAGCCAGACTAACTATGTAACTATGTTAGGAAAGCACCTTGATCCAACTGTGGGTCCTCTGAGTTGTGACGGAAACTTGTTATTATTATACAGGATTTATATAGCGCCAACAGTTTGCTCAGCGCTTTACAATATAACAGGAGACAATACAGAAACAATACAGTTTAATACAAGAGGGATAGGAGGGCCCTGCTCCTTGGAGCTTACAATCTAAGAGGGAGGGGCTAGTGGTACAAAAGGTAGTAACTGTAGGGGATGAACTGGTAGGAGGAGTAGAAGATTCCATTATTAGCTGAGGGAAGGATAGGCTTCCCTAAAGAGATAGGTTTTCAGAGGTCGCCTAAAAGTGAGCAGAATAGGCGATAGTCTGATAAATTGTGGTAGAGAGTTCCAGAGGATGGGGGAAGCTTGGAGAAGTCCTGGAGACGAGCATGGGAGGAAGAGTCGAGGGAGCTAGAGACCAGGAGATCGTGCGAGGAGCGGAGAGTACGGTTTGGGTGATATTTAGAGACAAGTTTGGAGATGTAATTTGGGGCAGAGTTATACATGGCTTTATATGTTATTGTTAATGTTTTGAATTTTATCTGTTGGGCAATGGGAAGACTTAAAGGATAAGTTCACCTTTGGGAACATGTTGCATGTTCCACCCATTTTGTACTATGTTCCCACTCCAGCAGCCACTGCCCGCTTCACTGCCTCTAGCGACAACAAGGGGGATATTCTCCTCTGCCCGTCCGGCTGCGTTATTCATTCACAGAGTTCTGTGAATGGGAATATACAGGTACCCACAGCCTTTGCAGCTGTCGGCTTGTAGTTCTCAATGAACTACAATAGCACTGTTGAGTGGTCTGTTCATTGTCTCTTCTTGTCAGTGTGTCTCTGCCTGTCCATACAAGGTACAAACCAGGGGGACGGACTGACAACTCATGGGGCCCCCGGGCAATAGGGGATCATGGGCCCCTGTGTCCTTGCCCAAACTCAAAAAAGCCTATGAAAAAGGTACCAGGGGCATCTCATGGGGCCCCCTACTGACCCCGGGCCCTCGGGCAGTCCCAAGTTTCCAAATGGTCAGTCCGCCCCTGGTACAAGCAGACAGATACACTGATAAGTCTGCAGGAGTCCTGCATGGCACCCGCAATCTGCTGAACATAGGTGCAATGATTTACAGGCTCCAAGTAGAAAAAAATATTAAATGCATATTTTATTACATGCAAACATTTTTTTTTTTTTTTAACCACCTCCCGCCCGCCATATAGTACAATGACGGGTGCAAGGTGGTTCTCTCGTTCCATTGTCACCACGCATGCGCGGCTCAGGGAGCGCGCAGCACGGTGATCGGCGGTGCGCTGTGTCCCTCGGACACAGCGGATCACTGATCACGGAAAGAGCCAAAGATGTCGGCTCGGTCATGTGATCAGCTGTGTCCAATCACAGCTGATCACATGCAAACAGGGAAATGCCGGTTATCGGCATTTCTCTCTTCTCGAGCTGTCACGCTGACAGCTCGAGAGGAGAGGAGAGCCGGTAATCGGCTTTCCGCGGAGGGGACATGTGCACTGATCATCAGGGCACTGATGATCAGTGTGCCCTGATGAACAGTGTAGCCCCATCAGTGCCACCTGTCAGTGTCCATCAGTGCCACGTGCCAGTGCCCATCAGTGCCATATCAATGCCACATATCAGTGCCTGCCAGTGCACATCAATGCCACATATCAGTGCCCATCTGAACTGCCTTTCAGTGTCACCCATCAGTGCCAGTCAGTGCCACCTATCAATGCCAATCAGTGCCACCTATCATTCCTGCCAATCAGTGCCGCCTATCAGTGCGCATCAGTGCCGCCTATCAGTGCCTGACAGTGCCGCCTATCAATGCCAGTCAGTGCCGTCTAACAGTGCCAGTCAGTGCCGCCTAACAGTGCCAGTCAGTGCCGCCTATCAGTGTTGCCTATCAGTGCCATGTGTCAGTGCTGCCTTTCAGTGCCCATCAGTGATGCCTGTCAATGCCCATCAGTGCCACCTACAAGTGCCTCCTCATCAGTGCCCATCAGTGCCACCGATCAGTGTCCATCAGTGCACATCAGTGAAGGAGAAAAATCACTTATTTACAAAATTTTATAACAAAAAAACTAAGAAAAAAACTTTTTTTTTCTAAATTTTCTGTGGTTTTTGGTTTGTTTAAGAAAAAATAAAAAACCCAGAGTTGATTAAATACCACCAAAAGAAAGCTCTATCTATCACACAAAAATGACAAAAATTTCATATGGGTACAATGTTGCATGACCGCGCAATTATCATTCAAAGTGTGACAGCACTGAAAGCTGGAAATTGGCCTGGGCAGGAAGGGGGTATAAGTGCCCTGTAGGCTTGTGGTTAAAGATGTACTTATCCTTCAAAGCTGTGGACTTAGTATACACAGGGAAGTGAAACCAACTCTGTGGTGTTCCCAAGGAGGGAAATGGAGGTTTGAGAGCTTAAAGATGTGTGCACTATGCACTGAAATTACTGCTATAGAATGTCTAACCTAGCACGTGACGATCTGTGTCGAATAATCTGCTAGTATATCAATATGATATGTCATGGACAAGTCATTATAAAGTGCAAGAAATGGATTTGTGCGTGGACATTCCTTTGTTTTCAGATATTAAGGTCTCTGGCCAGGGATGTCATTAGTGGGCCTCAGCCAGCAGTATGGCGCAATATGGAAGAGAGTTTTACGCCAGTTGGGTGGTTGTCCAATTCAAGAAGAAGCAGGGCAGGGACTTACAATTTGACACTAACACCTGCCTAGTTGTCGTCCACCTTACATAATGGAAAATACATTTTTTTTAGAATTCTGTGTGTAATGATGTAATTTACTTTCTGCCTGTTTGAATATTCTAAGAAACAGGCAATAAAAAAAATCCAATGCTTAAAAAATTTGTAATTTATTTAATGTTAATTTATGCTGAATTCTTCAATTTTTCTGTTCTCTGTGTTTGCTGCCCCTGGTTTGCAAAGGCAGAGCCAGTTTTGACAACTGACCACTGATGTTTCATTAATTTTTCTACTCATCTATGGCCAGCTTTAGTTACTGGTTACATTAAGCTCTAAATTGGGAGACTGGGGGTGGGTTTTAAAAACTAATACTTTTCTCTTATAGCACTGTAATGTGTTAGGACCTCTTAAAACATCTGTCATTGACATGCTTAGGTAAGCCACGTTAGCATATATGGAATCAAGCTCAGCCTCTTTCTTTGTATTGTAAAGCAGAGGGGTAGCATCATCTTTTCATAATCTGTGGTTGGCAATCCTAGAACTTGGATCATATTCTTGGCTGTCATGGCCATTCTTGTTCTGCTCTGGAGCCCGTAAAGCCTGTTCTGAGTCTTCTCCATCTAGTAATCCGGATGTACAGTATATGTGGAGAAGGCCGGACATGTGTGTGGTGTTAAACTTATTGTGTAGTGCAGAATTGTGTACACAGATCAAAAAGTAATCCTCTTGTAGCTTCTTTGGTTTCAGCAGTTTAAAGTCTCATATAGATATGAAGATGAAGATTTAAAACACAACCAAGTGTTACTGAAGCTAAGCATCCCAATTTAGTTTTGGGATTTCATTGCTATTTATTTAATAATTTCTTCATGTATTGGTTTAACTATTTAGTTCAGTTCATCTAATTAGTAATCTATTTCTTACATATTAATACATTAATTATATTTATTCAGTTAATATTCTCATGTTTGCACTTATTATAAAAGTAATTGTTGAAGTGCAGATCTGTGTCCTGTTTTTAACAGTTGAATAACAGAGCCGGAAACAACCAACAGGCTGTGCAAGTTGTTGTCAGAATACCTGAACAATGTCTGCATTTGATTGGCTGCAGCTGCTGTTTGGCTGATAATTTTCTGCTTGGCTCCTTCGCATTTTCTTTCGGATGATGTCAGATGGGAGAGTGCCAAAAGGGCCACCCATAAAGCAAATTTTAGCCTGTTTATTAGGAAATTCGCTCAATGAGTGACCAATTTTAAGCAGAAAACCTAATTGCATTATGCTGCTGTGTGCTTGTGTGTTTAAACATTTGTGGCTTAGTCATTATTTTTTATTATTAGCGTAAAAGTAATTCAGCACTGTGCACTAATTCAGCAGTAATCAATATAACTTATATTGTGTGTAACAAACACCTAATAGTATGTATGTTCGTATGGAATATGAAAAAAATTTTTTTTCTTGAGCTCAAAGTACATAATCTCATGTCTACTCTTCCAGACAGTAGTCCAGGACATGGTGAACAAGTAGTAACCCTTCTTCCATTTACGGTTGTCAGCCTTACTCCATGTACTTGTTTTACAAACCATTTTGTAATTGAAATGTTCTTAAAAAAATACTATTCTGTTTCAGCCTATAGTTCAGGGGATTTTCTAATACTGTTAAAAATTAAACTGTCAATGCAACAACCTGGGGCATTCAGCACACTAAATTCCCCAAAAATCCTAATTTACTACGTCTGAAATTAGATTTTTTTTTTTGAGCTGGAAGACACATTCCAGGCACCCCATGCAATAGATGTGTTTTTTGGTGAAATACTTTTGCAGTTGAACTCTGGGATATGTAAAATAAGCATCCATTAGTACACCCTCCTACATAAAACACTAGAATTTTTTTAAATCCTTACGATTTAGGAGAAAAATCTAATTGAATTTGCATGTCCTCATCTCTGTAATTCAAAAAATAAGAGTATCTGCTCTGCCAAGGAGGAGATGCAACAGTAGGGATTACATCATATTTTATTACTATTTATTTATTTATTACAGGTACTTATATAGCGCCATCAATTTATGCAGCACTTTACATAAATATTATACATTCACATCAGTCCCTAACCCTCAAGGGGTGTACAATCTAAGGTTCCTAACTCACATTCATACATACACATACTAGGGCCAATTTAGACAGGAGCCAATTAACCTCCCAGCATGTCTTTAATATCCTCTCCCCTCTCTCTGCAGTAAAATGAAACTACAGTTCCCATCAATCACAGGGAATTGTAGTGAATGTGGGCGGGTACACTATTCCTATACATCAGGGGTGTCAAACTGGCAGCCCTCCAGCTGTTGCGAAACTACAAGTCCCATCATGCCTCTGCCTTTGGGAGTCATGCTTGTAACTGTCAATCTTCCTAGATTGTAAGCTCCAAGGAGAAGGGCCCTCAAATCCCTCTTGTATTGAACTGTATTGTTGCTGTATTGTCTCCCGTTATATTGTAAAGCGCTGAGCAAACTGTTGGCGCTATATAAATCCTGTATAATAATAATAATCTTGCAATGCCTCCTGAGACTTCTAGTTTGGCAACAGCTGGAGGGCCGCCAGTTTGACACCCGTGCTGTACATGTTGAATGTATCTGATAATCTCAGTTCGCCCACCACAGCAAGTGGAACTGAATTACAGCACAGCTTCCTGGAGAAAGAACTACAGAAGGGATGTGCCAAGACCAGTGGCTGGGGGAATAGGAGGCATAGCAGCCACTGGTCTTACAAACAGGAAGCCAAAGAGAATTAACGGTTTGATTTGAAAATGAACAGGATATTTCAGAGCAACTACTGAGTGAACCAGAAGATGGATGAAATATTCATTGAAGGTAGAAAATCAGCAACAAGGATGTGTAAAGAAGTTTTTTGCCTGGAGTTCTGTTTTAAAGACTCTTTTACTCCTAAATGTTTTAAAAATTTCCCTTTCTGTTTCAGCCTATAAATAATGTGATTTTTCTAATACTGTCAATTAAATTGTCAAAACTACAAAATAAGGAAAACATGAATTACTTTAGAGGAAAAACTCTATAAATGTGCATATATTGTATCTGCAAACAAACCTGAAGTTATACTTTTTTCAGAAGAAACGTCACTGACAACGTTCAACATATGGCAGTCTGTACTTTGCATATGACTCAGAATTATGACAAACGTTATGTCTTAAGAACTTTCCTAACCTCTATAAATGGAAATGAGTAGCTGTATTTATTAGTTTACAGCCTGCTGCAGAGTATTAAGAACTAACCAGGAACCAGTGCACAAAGAAAAAGCAGTAGGTGTGTTGAAGGGCAGTTCTACTATCACTAAATAAACCCAAAAGTGATATCACATCTCCGTATACTGACATCACGAAAACCTAGTCTGCGGTAATTAGGTGTTGAAGGTTGAGAGATAGCAGCTCTTGTATTTTAAAATATAACCAGTACCGTCCCACCACTTGTTGCCCTCTGAGGTTGTTACTCCTGTAACTAAGCACTCCTTTAATACCAGCAGCTTCCAAAAGCCATTTGAGTCTGGACCTCCAAAATTCCTGTGCTACAAAGTGTATAAAGCAACCCCACCGATTTCCAAATAATCTTCTCTGCCCATTGTCTCTGCAGAACAGCTCAACTCTTTCATGTGTCTTCAAAGTTAGTGTCCAGGTAGAAACACAAACTACAAGCAGTGACAGAAAGCAGATGGTGCAGATGCAATGAAATGGATATTAAACCTCAATTAATTATACTCACAAAGGGGATTAGATCAACCAGCATGTCTAGAACTAAATCCTGACCAGGGTTCTGCTTTTTCAGGGGAAACCTTTTATCCAAAGAGATATTCTGTTCTTCTTATAATCCGTTAAGCACTTCCCCGATACACACCCTTGATTAACCACTTGTATATCGTGTATGTCTTTCAGGAATCTTTAGCTATAATGAAAATGGAAAAACACTGTTGGAAATATAAGAAAAAAAAAACAGAGAGAGAGATCATCTGGGCAGCACAATGGCTAAATGGTTAGCACTTCTGCCTGGCAGTACTAGGGTTGTTGGTTCAAATCCCAACCATGACACCTCCTGCCTGGAGTTTGCATGTTCTCCCTGTGCCTGTGGGGGTTTCCTCTGGGTACTTAAGTTTCCTCCCACACTCCAAAGACATGCTGGTAGGTTAATTTGCTCCTGTCTAAAT